TAGAATTGAACCAAACTTGGCATACAGGACTTCCATGACTAACAGAAAATACTGGAGAGAGGGTTGGGAAAAATAGACCCTGACATTTGGGAATTGCAGTTTACCAAGCACCAAAGAACATTCTGAGCTCAACCAACAATAGAATTGAACCAAACTTGGCATACAGGACTTCCATGACTAACAGAAAATAATGGAGAGGGGGTTGGGAAAAATAGACCCTGACATTTGGGAATTGCAGTTTACCAAGCACCAAAGGACATTCTGAGCTCCACCAACAATAGAATTGAACCAAACTTGGCATACAGGACTTCCATGACTAACAGAAAATACTGGAGAGGGGGTTGAGAAAAATAGACCCTGACATTTGGGAATTGCAGTTTACCAAGCACCAAAGAACATTCTGAGCTCCACCAACAATAGAATTGAACCAAACTTGGCATATAGGACTTCCATTACCAAATACTAGAGGGGTTTGGGGGAGGCATGTACAAAAGATGACATTTGCAGTACCTTTTGAGGAGGCCTCCTTGCTGCCCAGAGAGGGGTCCAGGCTCAGCTGCAGGGAAGGGAAAGCGAAAGCGAAAGAGCCTGGCTGGCTGCCTCCTGGCAGCAGGTGGAGGGAGGACTTCCCTCTCGCCTAGTGGGCGGGGCCTGCGCTTCTCCATTAGAAGGCTGTTCAGGGCGCATGGGGCCTCCAGGAGGAGGCGTGGCCTAAGGACAAAACAGCGCCCCCTGGCAAAAAAAGTATTCCGCGACAGCTTACTTCGAGTAATGGACGGGCCGGCCCTGTATATAGGGAGCCCCCAGTGACACAGTGGGTTAAACCACTGAGCTGCTGAACTTGCTGACCGAAAGGTCACAGGCTCGAATCTGGGGAGTGGGGTGAGCTCCTGCTGTTAGCCCCAGATTCTGCCAACCTAGCAATTCGAAAACATGCAAATGTGAGTAGATCAATAGGTACCACTTTTGTGGGAAAGTAATGGCACTCCATGCAGTCATGCCGGCCACATGAACTTGTAGGTGTCTATGGATGCCAGCTCTTTGGCTTAGAAATGGAGATGAGCACCACCCCCCAGAGTCGGACATGGCAAGACTTAATGTCAAGAGGAAACCTTTTCCTATACATATATATGTATATGTTTAGGAAAAGGATATATTGTATGAGATGATATATAAAGCAGAAATAAAGCAGGGTAGAAATCAATATAAATAATAATAATAACAAACAAACCTTTGGAAATTGCACACATGTATGCAGATATATAAGCAAATACACAAACACAAACATTTATACATACAAAGGATCTGTAAAGAGCAGCTAGAAGCAGTGAAATCATCCATGTAAGTTGACCAATCAGTCCATGAAATATTTTCTCATGAATCATACTGGCACAGCAATGATACTGACTTTAATCAAGGTTATTTAAAATCACAATTACCAGGAATGTTCCCATTTATAATTGTGCATTCTGACAAGGAAGAAGTGACACATATTTCGGCTGCCCAGGCAGCCGGCTTACACCACCCTCGGCCCCTCGTCTCCCCTGCGATGCAATCGACAACGAGTCCCATTTCCTCATTTTGCCCCGTCGCTTATAATCTTTAGCTATTCATCACAGAGGTTATTATGAGCCTTGGCAAGCCTCCTCAGCTGGTATGCCTGCCTCTGCCTCTGAAATGTAGCTTTTATTGACAACATGTGGCATGTGAACAAAGGTCTTCAAAGGGCTATTGCTAGAAGGCATCGCTGAATTCATTGTAAAGAGGAGGAGAAAAAGCGATAGGAACAAATTCTACTTTATATTTATATACTTTAGTATTTCTTAGCACTGTGATTAAAAAGAAATATTTTTGCATTGCCCTAAGGATTCTATAGTGCTGCATTTGCTCTCTGCTGTAGTGTGACTATTGTAGATCTAATTCTGGTGGTACATACATTTTTATATGATGTTGTCGCAAGATGTATATAATTATATTTACTCACCTAGATTGGAAAACCTTTTTCTGAGCAGTGGGGAGGCTAGAGCTTAAATTAGGAGAGAAAACATGTAGCCCTCCAGATTTGTTGGACTGAAACTCTCATCAGCCTCAGCCAGCATAGTCAATGGTGGATGGAGGCTGCAATCCAATAAGTGAAGGTTGTAGCCTAAAGATGTTCTACTGATTTCAGACACAATTGAGCATTACATAATTTCTGTGAATTCAGGACACAGTGTCTCTTCAGCAATTGATTCACTCATAAAGGTGTTGTTGTTGTTGTATGCCTTTAAGACATTTCCAACATATGGTAACCTTGAGGTAAACCAGTCTGAGGTAAACCTGTCTGAGTTTTCTGAGGCTTAAGAGTGTCTGACTTGGTTGTTGTGAGTTTTCTGGGCTCTATGGCCATGTTCCATAAGCATTCTCTCCTGACCAGGCCCGTAGCCAGGATTTCGATTCGGGGGGGGGGGGGGGGGGGGGGGTTTTTTCAGGGGGGTTCGGGGGCTGAGTTTCGGGGGGGCTGAGTCTGAGTGAAAGAGGGTGTACCCTAGCAAACCTTTTGTATCATTACCCCAATACCCCCATGCATATGGGATATATTGAGTATGGTGATCAGATCATGATATGAATAAACATAACAGTTTAAATAATGCACCAGTAAGGCCTTTTCACGAACCACCATGAGAATTGGGGGGGGGGCTGAAGCCCCTCAAGCCCCCCCCCTTCCCGGCTACATGCCTGCTCCTGACGTTTCACCCACCTCTGTGGCAGGCTTCCTCAAAGGTTGTGAGGTCAGTTGGAAACTAGGCAAGGGAGGTTCATAGATCTGTGGAATGTCCAGGGTGGGAGAAAGAACTCTTTCTGCTTGAGGCAAGTGTGAATGATGCAATTGGCCACCTTGATTAGCATTTAGTGGCCAATTGCAGCATTCAGACTTGCCTCAAGCAAGAGTTCTTTCTCCCACCCTGGACATTTTACAGAGACATAAACCTCACTTGCCTAGTTTCCAACTGACCTCGCAACCTCTGAGGATGCCAGCCATAGATGTGGGCAAAATGTCAGGAGAGAATGCTTATGGAACATGGCCATACAACTCGGGAAACTCACAGCAACCCAATTATTGTGGCCATGAAAGCCTTCAACAACACAGTGTCTGACTTGCTTGGGGTCACTCAATGTATTTTCATGGCCAAAGGGGGCTTCAAACCCTAGTCTCCAGAGTCACTGTCCAATGCTCAGACCACTATGTCATGCTGCCTCCCATAGGGACATTAAAGAGACACAAATGCAAGGATACAGCCAATCCCAGTTAGACTGTTTTGTTGTGCGCTTTCAAGTCATATACGAGTTATGGTGACCCTAAGGTGAGCTTATCACATGTTTTTCTGAGGTTGAGAGAGGGTTATTTCCCAAGGTCATTCAGTGGGTTTTAAGCCATACAAATCCTATTCTCCAGAGCCATTTCCAAGGCTCAAACTGCTATGGTACCCTGACCCTAATTCTTTCCCCAGATAATTCATTTCCAGTTCTTTTCTTCCCCTATTTATTTATCTATCTGTCTCTCACTTATTCTTATTCTTTATCTTATCCCCCTCCCCCCTCAGACACAAACACATCCCTCCTGGACAAACCTGTTTCAGCTTCCCACCTGTGTAGGTGTCTTAAAAGTATATTCCAATGTGACTTTGACAAAAGATCAGGCTAATTGGCCAATTCGTGTTCCCTATTAATGCAGAATCCCAAGGGAGAACCACTTTATACATCCAAAGAGCCTGATGTTTTCAATAATACAGCTGTACTCCACAGAACGTTGCGGGGTATTTCCAAAGTGCAGGTTTCAGACTATGATAGAATATACATGGCTCTGTCAATCATTTTAGCTACTTCCCTTCCAAGGGTGTTAGAAATTGAATAGAAATGTGATTTTTCTAGATAGAGCTACTGCTTTAAAATATGTGTTAATGACCTATGCTCACCATTGGTGTGTGTATGGCAATTATGGCCATACAGACACCAATGGGGTGGGGAGCTCTCTTGTATCTCGGAGCCTATGGTGATGCAAGGTGCATGTGGAGTTGTGTGTGTGTGTGGGGGGGGGGGGGGAATCAGTATCAGAACACTACAAATGATTGCCTCCTGCTAAGGACACCAAATGAAAAAAAGCATGTCCTCTCCTTCAGTAATCCAAGCAGGCAGAGGGCAGCTGGTTTACATAATCATGCTTGAAAAGTCTATTTCTGCACACTAAGGCCACCGTTTTGCTTATGACATACACTGGCATAATGTCCTCTGTTTTGTTATTGCAGACGGAGGTGTCCAGTGTCACGTTGTACAACATCCATCCATACACTTAAATAACCTTGAGATGCCAGGATATACACACATGCTTAAACAATGACCAGGAGTCCATTCACACTACACAACTACAATACTACTTTGTTTTAACTAGCATGGTTCCTCACTGAGCAGTCCTGGGACTTATAGTTTGCTAAGGCACTACAGGATTGTGGCTGAGAATTCTAAACATCCCTCTATTCAGTGCAGATCCCATTTACAACTTATGGTAACCTTGAGGTGAACCTATCCTAAGGTTTTCTGAGGCTAAGGGTGTCTGAGATGTAGCTATTCTGGGGAATATAGCAGTATGATTGTATGAATGGGCCCTAAAAGGATGGGAATTTCCCCCAGGCACAATTTGGTTGTCTGAAAAGGAAGAGCTATCAGCCTTCTGGATCTTGCTCATCACTAGATCTTCCCTGTTCTCCGTTGCAAAATTGAAGACATATAATGCCCAGGATCTTTTTGTTCTCTCCCTTTCCCCTCCCTTAAAGTCTGGATGTGAGAGTACACTGAAGTCTCCAGGCTATGGTTCCATGCAGAGATGGAAATTGTCTGTCATGCAATGATCTCTGTTCCCTGCAGAATGAAATAGAGAGAATTCAGTAGTTTACAGGCATGTGGTTTAAAAGAAGCAGTAATCAGCTTGACATTTTCTTACCAACATTTCCAATATTTTACAGGGCATCCCAGGTATTTTAATCAACTGTCAACTGGATTGGATATGGTTGGATTAGCTGCAGATTGGCTAACGTCTACAGCCAACACTAACATGTAAGTATGTGAATTTCTTAGTGCTTTTTAATATAGGAGACATTTAGGTGTAGATGCTGCAGTATGGAGTCTTCAAAGAAGTCTTTTCAAAAATAGATTATTTTACCACTGTAGCTGCTCTGTATGTTGTTTCCCACTGAAAATAAGCACAGCATAAACAACTGTATATGGCCATCAAAGAAATGCCATAGATAATTACTTTGTGACTTGAAACTATAGTGGTTTCAGCTATTATTATTTAAATACTCATTGGAATGCTGCATCTTGGGGATATTTTTGTTCATTCGTCATTTTGTGTATAAGATTAGTATCTGCTTTCTGGGACAGATACAGATTGAGCCATGTTTAGAGTAGAGCCTTTGAAATCAGTGGGCCAGTATATTATATCTAATTTCAGTCCCATTAATTTCAATGTATATGCAATGACTATGAACCCAGCCCATTAAATCTATATCAAGTGCTGAAAGCCAGACTGACATGGCAATGTACAGATATCTTAAATAAACCTATGAGTCCAGACTTACAGTTTGTCAGATCACTCATCCCATCTAGTCTAGGAGTAGGAATCATGCAGTTCTCCAGACTGCATGATTCCCTCAACGTACAAATCTTATCATCCCTATCCGGTATAGCTTATGGTTAGAAATGCTGGGAGTGGCAGTCCAGCAATACATGAAGTGTTGTATGAGTCCCACCCTGATCTAGCTCAAGTGCTATCAGATCTCATAATGACCCTCCAAGGTCTTGAACATTGTTTTCTTGGCTCTGCCTTTGGTAAATCCTTCAACTGGAACCTGGGATCTGATATGTTCTCCTCATCAACCTCTAGACCAGTGGTCACTAACCTTTTTTACCAGGGACCATTTTGACCAGGGACCAATTGACCAGGGATCACTTTGACCAGGGACCACTCTCCAACATTAGTACCAAAACGGTTATAAATCAATTTTTGGTCAAATTTAGATTTGGTTTGGTTATTTGGGGTGCTGATTCAGAAAATTCAATTGGATAGACCACATCAGCTCTAGTTTCTGATACAGAACATATGCCATCCAGTAGTCACCACTTGCTCGTCCACAGAAAACCATATCTGATAATCTAGAGCTGATGTTGTAGTAGTAATCTTTTGTGGGTAGTCAGCCCTTCCCTTCCCAACATCCCTGTTGCCTTGGCACTACAAGAGGGTTTCGCAGGACCAGTCACTTTCATTGTTGCGTGGTTTCGAGACAACGGTGTAGTAGTGGTGAAGCCGCAGACCATATTTTTGTTCTTGCGGACCACTTGTGGTCCATGGACCACAGGTTGGGAACCACTGCTCTAGACCATAAGCCACATGTGGACTTCAGGTTATTGTGCACATCCTCTTTTGCCACTAGCTGCAAACTATGCTACTGAAAACTAGTGGGAGCAACAGAACAAAAAATAAACAAACAAAAATGAAATCAGTTATCAACACTCAGTGGGTTAGGGGCATGGGGATCTTGTAAAAATGAAAATCTCACAAAGAAAAAAAAATCTTCTATTAACGCAAGAGAACACCTGTATGTATAGAATCATAGAATCATAGAGTTGGAAGAGACCTCATAGGCCATCCAGTTCAACCCCCTGCCAAGAAGCAGGAAAATCGCATTCAAAGCACCCCTGACAGATGGCCAGCCTCTGTTTAAAAGCCTTCACAGAAGGAGCCTCCACCATACTTCGGGTAGTATGAAATCCAAAGATATAGAATAGGGGAATGTGAGAGCTGAACAGCTCACACAGTCAGAAAGTTCTTCCTAATGTTCAGGTGGAATCTCCTTTCCTGTAGTTTGAAGCCATTGCTCTGCATCCTAGTCTCCAGGGCAGCAGAAAACAAGCTTGCTCCCTCCTCCCTATGACTTCCCCTCACATATTCATACAATGTCTATCATGTCTCCTCTCAGTCATCTCTTCTGCAGGCTAAACATGCCCAGCTCTTTCAGCCGCTCCTCATAGGGTTTGTTCTCCAGACCCTTGATCAATTTAGTCACCCTCCTCTGGACACATTCCAGCTTGTCAACATCTCCCTTCAATTGTGGTGCCCAGAATTGGACACAATATTCCAGGTGTGTTCTAAGGAATAGCATGACTTCCCTGGATCTAGACACTAGACTCCTATTTATGCAGGCCAAAATCCCATTGGCTTTTTTAGATGCAGCATCACATTGTTGGCTCATGTTTAACTTGTCCACAAGGACCCCAAGATCTTTTTCACATGTACTGCAGTCAAGCCAGGAGTCCCCCATTCTATATCTTTGGATTTCATTAACCATGGGTGATAACGAGAGGTAAATTTCAGTGCTTGGAAAGTTACATTTATGGAGTACAATAGAAAGTATACCCAGCAAGCATGGTAGCCCAAGCTCAGGAAAACATTATCCCTATTTTCATTTAGTCAACAAAATGCTGATGCTGTTATCTTTCAGGTTCACCTATGAAATAGCTCCAGTGTTTGTGCTCTTGGAATATGTCACATTGAGGAAAATGAGAGAAATTGTTGGTTGGCCAGGAGGTGCTGGCGATGGGATCTTCTCTCCCGGTGAGTAGTCTTCTTTAACCTATTTGCTTTGTGATGCTTATCATTTGCAATAATTCTCATGGGGTGGGGAGCAGTGTTCATGTTCAAAAGGATGCTTACTTTTTATTAAACATCCTCTCTTGGACAGCAAAATATTGAATAGTTTTATGGCAGTCTAAGGCATGATTATTAAAGACTTAGCAATGATGGCCCCAGCTGAATGCTTCCTTCCAGCAAATTGTGCTGCTTTATATTGAACTAAAGTGTCTTCATAAGGCAGGTAAAGATAATCCGAAAAGTCATTTTTGTTGCCTTTTACTTTGTGTATTGTATGTTTGTAGGTATGTGTGCATCTCTGCAAAACTTCTGCAGTATTCCTTATATTATGATGGTGTTCTCTACCCTCTCCTCCAGTATCATATCAAACAGAGAGAGAGAGAGAGACCCCATTTCTGCTTTTTTAAAATGTCAGAAGCGACTTGAGAAACTGCAAGACACTTCTAGTGTGAGAGAATTGGCTGTCTGCAAGGACGTTGCCCAGGGAATGCTCGGATGTGTTACCATCCTGTGAGAGGCTTCTCTCATGTCCCTGAATGAGAAGCTGGAGCTGACAGATGGGAGCTCACCCTGCTCCCTGGAATGGAAATGGCAACCTTTTGGTCAGCAGTACTGCTGGCACAAGAGCTTAACCCATTGCGTCTCATTTTATATAGGGAGTGTGTGAATGGATAGTATGGAAAGAATTTGGCTGAGTTAAAGTGTAAGAGTAACAAGATACCAGCTTAGTGTAATAAGCAATAGTGTTAAGGATCTGGACAAATATTTTAGAATAACGAATAGACCAGTCCCCCTGGAGATATATTGGGCAAGGGATGGAATGACACATATGCAAGTGATAGGGTGGAAAAACATGGAAATCACCACCTACAGCTGCTCCAGTGAAGTATAGCAACAGGTCCACACATAGGTTTGAGACCCAAAGAAGAAATGTTGCACTCAGTGAAGTTTTAACACATCTGATGGTATATACAGGGAAATATACTGGAGGAAAAAGAAGCATCATTTGGATCTTGATACACTGCAAAGATCCCAACCCATCTAGATGAGCCCTAAAATATCTGTGCTTTCTTTTTTAAATAGTGGAAGTGTTATTTGGGGCAGGGTCAATTAATAGAGCAAAGATTTCTCTTATCTAAGTTTAAGCCGTGTCTTTTAAAAGTTGCATGATGAAAAATGCTGTTTGTGCTTAAAGCTATGCAATTGTGTGAACAGAAGAGGTAACAGTGTGTTACTGTGGACTCCAGGTGGTGCCATATCTAACATGTATGCTATGTTGATTGCACGTTTCAAGATGTTCCCAGAAGTTAAGGAGAAAGGAATGGCAGCTATTCCAAGATTGGTTGCCTTCACATCAGAGCATGTAGGTGTTTCTGTTTTCACCACTTTACTAAATTCACATGTTTGCTCATTAAGTTAGGCTCTTCTTACCATGATTTTATAACTGTAAAGTCCAATTGTTACCCCGAACTGGAATAGACCCACTGAATGAATTGTAATTTAGTCAGTTTGCAGTGTTGTGTTCATTCCATTGCTGAATGGATCCTCTCTAGTTGGAACCAACAATAGATTTTAGACTTTTGTTATTCTTTACTTATTTCAGGGTCTTATTTATTTATTTATTTATTTACTGTATTTGTATACCACCTTTCTCAGCCCATAGGCGACTAAAGGCAGTTTACAGGCAGCAATTCGATGCACACAATATAATAAATACAATTAAAAACATTAATATATAATATAAAACCGCAACAAATCAATAAAACAAAAATCATTATCATCTCCTTGTTTAAACCTTGTTCTTTTTTTCCTTCCTTCTTATGAAATAAACTAGGTTCTTTAATTCTCCCTTTCTAAAATGCATTATATCAGGATGGTGCGTTCCTTTGAAAACCTCTTGGTTCATTTAGTCACCTTTTGGATTTAAAATTATGGCTATTATTTACACTCAGCCCTCCAGATTTGTGAGTTTAACTTTGAAGATTTTATTATTCATAGATATTATTAATATGCTTTCTCTAGGAATTTCTGGGAGTACAGTTCCATTATCTGGGCAAAGGTCACAAGGAGGTGCTAGAGAGAGAAGGATAGCCCATTTTATGGGGATGGAGGGTGGGTTGAAGAAGGAAAACAATTTCTCCCTGTTTTCCTATTATTCCCCACCACCACCATCCATGTCCCCATCATGTAAACAACTCTTGTTTATGATTTGGGAAGGCGGGGGAGGGAGAATAACCAGCGAAAACAGGTTAAATTGTTTTCCTCCTTCAATTCCCCCTTTAAAATGGTCTATCCTTCTCTTTGTAGTGCCCCCAAGTGGCCTCTGCCTGGATAAAGGAGCAGTACCTTTCTGGGTCTTCCAGAACATTTGCCAGAATTTGGCTAGAGAGTCACTTCGGAGGACGTTTTTTTAAACAAAAAAACCCCGTTGTATGACCATGTCCTGACATCAAGAGCATTGTCACTTCCACTAACATTTTCTGGCCCATGGAGCAATGGAGCATCTGGCCTCCACCCACCTAAAATAAATTTCCTGTCTTCTGATGCACAGATTTATGCCCGTTTCATTTTGCCTTCTCCACCATCTTGTGAGATTGACAAAACTAAGTAGCTAAACAAAGGTCACCTATGAGCTTTGTGCATAAATTAGAATTTGACCCAGAATCTCCTTACAGGGCAATGAAAGGACCCCAACAAAATCCATTGCAATGAATCATTACCATTTGTAACAGTGCTTAGCACTTTAGAGTTGACACAACTCTGTAAAGTTACCTGATATTACTATCGCAGCATTGAAGATGTTGGACTGATTCCCAACTCCCAGGGCTCCATCTTATGGAATCTTGGGATCTGTGGTTTGTTGTGGTACCAGAGCTCTCACACAACTACAAATCCCAGAATTCCTTAGCATTAAGCCATGGCTGTTAATGTGATGTCAAACTGCATTAATTCTGCAGTGTGCATACAGTCCTAACTCAAACTATTATACCACACTGGCTCTCAGTACTAGAGTGTTAATTTCACAGGAAGTGTTCCTGGTGGATTCCCCCACCCTCCATGGATACTCCTTGATTATTCTTAAGCCATTGGAGAAGCAAACCTACTATAAATATTGTGGAAAGAATAATAATCTATATCCTTTTTCAGAGTCATTTTTCTGTGAAGAAAGGAGCAGCAGCCTTAGGAATTGGTACTGACAGTGTGGTTTTAATCCGATGTGATGAGAGGTAAGCACATCATTGTTCGCTTATAGGAAGATCCTATCTTTGATGATGACAGAAGGTGAAAAATATGAAACTGGTTGCCAAATAATGCAAAATGCCACCATCCTGCAATTGGTTCAAGTAAGTTGTGCAAACCAACATAAGCTTTTCACCAAGTTTGGAAAGGGGCATAAAATAGGCATTAATGCTTAGCTCATATGCTGATGTTCATTTCATTTTAAGACACAGGCAAACTAATTGTCCTTGCTTCTACGTTTAAGATGTCAAGCTTAGATCCTGCATTGCCTGGCAGAGTGCAAAGTTCCTCTTGAAAGCCAGAGCCCTCCACAGCACAATGGGTTAAACCCTTGTGCCAGCTGAACTGCTGACCGAAAGGTCGATGGTTCAAACCTGGGGAGTGGGGTGCAGCTCCCGTCTGTCAGCTCCAGTTTCCCATGTGGAGACACAAGATAAGCCTCCCACGGGATGATAAAACATCCAGGTATCACCTGGGCAACATCCTTGCAGACAGCCAATTTTCTCACACCAGAAGTGACTTGCAGTTTCTCAAGTCATTCCTGACACACACCGAAAACCACTTGAAAGCCAGTATAGGACAGTGGTTTGAGAGCTGAATTAGGTTTCTGGGAGAACTGGGTTTGAATTCATATTAAGCCATGAAATCCACCTTGGGGGTAGAATTTAAAGACATAACCACATTAGTCTGGAATATCAAAAGGATCTTGTAGCACTTCAGAGAAAAACTGATACAATGAAGTAGATAGCACACGCTTTTGTAGACTAGATGTACTTTCTCAAATGGATGACCTTGGGAAAGGCATGCTCTCCCGGAGGAAAGCAATGGCGAACTCCTCTGAATGATTCTGGCAGGTGCTTCTGCTAGTACTAGAACATCTTCAGTTGCATGATCAACAATCATGCTGACTGGGAATTCTGGAAGCTGTAGTCAAAACATTTCAAAGTTCTGGAACTTCTCATAACTTTGCAATAACCTGAGTATCAGAATAATTGGGGAAGTCATGATAGCAAAGTAATTTTTATTTTATTTTGATTATTTCATTCCAGAGGCAAAATGATCCCATCTGATCTTGAAAGGAGAGTCATTGAAGCAAAGCAAAAGGCAAGTAGATTTCTGCCTATTGTCAATGCACCATACAACAGCTTTCCCCAACCTGATGCCTTCCACATGTGTTGGACTTCATTTTCCATAATTCCTATTGAACATAGCAATTGGTTGTGGTACTCAAAGATGGTAGCAATTATAACCTGGAGAGCATCAGGTTAGGGCAGACAGAAATAAGTTGGAAGTTTTCTTATTCCACTCGTGTAGGCATTTACATTGTCTCTCTGAATTCTTTTTGCCATTTAATTTTGTGGTGCATTTCCTATCTTTTCTGTGTTAATTGGACTTTTGATATTTATGAATTTCCTCTATGGTTGCTGAGTTATTTTGACAGCTTCTTCATGAAAGGATGGGGACTTGGATACCAACTATATAGATAAAAACCACAACACTACTTTTCAATGTACTCTAGTGAGTTTCTAGCATGTTAAATCAGTGTCTAATGTGAGGTCTGAAGCAGGGATGGGCAAAGTGTGGCCCATTCAGGACAGGTTTTGTGGTTCCCAGGGGTCAAAATATATTTATTTACAAAGAAAATTAGTCCTCAATGCCACCACGTGCACGCTAGGGGTGTGGAAGGCATTTTCACCATGTTTGGAGGCCAGTTGGCTCAAAAATGTTCACAAGAGGGCATGGTGTACATTTGTGGGGCCCTTTGACTATTTGGATCCAGATTATGCTTTTTTGGGGGGGGGGAGGGGGAAAACCATGATGAATATACCCTTGTGCCTATACTCTATAAAGATGGGCCTCTTGAAGCTTTGCTAGGGGAAAATGTGGTACCATAGCCTTCCACAATTGCCCCTGGTCTAAGTGTTTGAATCAAATGTTGCCATTCTTCACTTGGAAAACAAAGACAAAGTACAAAAAAACCCCCGTCAAAATCTGATAAGATCACAAAGAAAGCAGATCCAAAATGTTTCTATCAAAGTTCCTCAGCATCATATCAACAAGATCTTTGCAATCCTTGGAAGAGGGGGAATTAAGCTGAGTAAGACTCTATGTAGCAGAGTAGCCCATTCTTCAGGAATGTTCATTTTTGCATGTGGAAAACAATACAATAGTAGTACATTTTTGGGCAACCATTCACAATGGCTGTTCTCATATACATGTACTCCAAAAGATGAATAGTTTTCTTGGTTGTTTTCAACAAACCAGCTCTACACATGAAGAACAGGTCTTTTACTAAGCTGATAAGTCCAAGACCAGGCCACTACAAAATACCTTGTATTGTCACATGCTGCTGATGGGGAAATTCATTCCCTCTAGATGCTGCAAAGTCTGCATTTAAGTTCAATGAGCCATTGTTGTGCATGGGTTAAATCCTTGTGCTGGCTGAACTGTTGACCTGAAGTTCGGCAGTTCAAATCCGCGAGACGGGGTGAGCTTCTATCTGTCAGCTCCAGCTTCCCACACAGGGACATGAGAGGAGCCTCCCACAGGATGGTATCACATCTAGGTGTCTCCTGAGCAATGCTCTGCAGACGGCCAGTTGCAGTTTCTCAAGTCGCTTCTGACACGAGAAAAAAAACCCCTTAAATTCAATGGAGAGTTGGGGGAACAAAACAGATGATGTCACCCTTGTGAATTTAAAAGTCACAACACTTTGATTCTGTGATCTCTGCCTACAACACTTGCTAAAAGTCCTAGTTTCAGTTCTGGACACCTCCCATTGAAACATCTCTGGGCAAACTGGCAATTTCCTCACTTCTGATGCAAATACCATTCTCAGTGGAAATAATTTATTCAAGAATGTAGCAGGAGAAGGAAAAATTAATTCCATCTCTATGCATGCCTGCTGTGATCCCAACAATTATCACGATCTAACAGTTTCTGTGATGTAAATGTAAAAAGAAAAATCCTGAATATTAAATACAAAAGGATATTTGAGGTCGTGTCTACTTTGGCTTCAAATACTTTGGCTCAGAAAGACTCCCCACCTCTCCGAGATTATAGAGAGGAAACAACTGCCAGTCATCATAAGCAATATAAGGCTAGATTATCCAAGATGTAAAACAGTTGCTTGGGAAACTGCCCTGGGTCTCATAAGACAGCCATTTCAGTCATCTAGCTCAGGACTGTCAACCACACTGAATGTCAAGATTAAAGTCTTTCCCAGATTGAATTGTAGATGCAGAGGTTGAATCTGGAGTCTTGCACATGTAAACCATGTTCTCCAGATCTAGATCCTTCCTTAGCTCCCTATGCTCATATGCCAATGACAGTTCTCATTAACACAAATTAGGATCCTTGTATTCCACTGTTCAACATGGTGCCAGGACTGGTCCTACCATTAGGCAGAGTGTCATGGGTATTATATCAGTGACTTATGTTATATTACTGTCTTATATCAGTGAATATGAATTGCTTGTTCAACAAAGGTCAGAAGTGAAAGGCAGATATGTCCATTCTAGATGGTCATTTTATTATGTGCCAGGGAAAGCTTTCTGCAAACAAGACATCAATATATATTTACGGTTTTAGCAGTTTGCTGCCACCTACATGTAAAAACAGCAAAACTCTGGCAAATTGAAAAGATAAAGAGAAGTTATAAATGAGTGGCAACATTGACTTCTGTGGTGCTTAAATGAGATGTTCCTTGTTTCTTTGCCACTTAATAACATAACGGTAGCTTCACTTCACTTCACTTCACTTCACTTCACTTCACTTCACTTCACTTTATTTCTTAATTAGTCGCTCTCCACCAAAGTGCTCCGAGCGACTTACAGTCTAAAATAGCATCTGTTGTTGTTCATTCGTTCAGTCGTCTCCGACTCTTCGTGACCTCATGGACCAGCCCACGCCAGAGCTCCCTGTCGGCCGTCACCACCCCCAGCTCCTTCAAGGTCAGTCCAGTCACTTCAAGGATGCCATCCATCCATCTTGCCCTTGGCCGGCCCCTCTTCCTTTTACCTTCCACTTTCCCCAGCATAATTGTCTTCTCTAGGCTTTGCTGTCTCCTCATGATGTGGCCAAAGTACTTCAACTTTGTCTCTAGTATCCTTTCCCTCCAATGAGCAGTCGGGCTTTATTTCCTGGAGGATGGACTGGTTGGATCTTCTCGCAGTCCAAGGCACTCTCAGCACTTTCCTCCAACACCACAGCTCAAAAGCATCTATCTTCCTTCGCTCAGCCTTCCCTAAGGTCCAGCTCTCACATCCGTAGGTTACTACAGGGAATACCATGGCTTTGACTAGGCGGATCTTTGTTGCCAGTGATGTCTCTACTCTTTACTATTTTATCGAGATTGGACATTGCTCTCCTCCCAAGAAGTAAGCGTCTTCTGATTTCCTGGCTACAGTCTGCATCTGCAGTAATCTTTGCACCTAGAAATACAAAGTCTGTCACGGCCTCCACGTTTTCTCCCTCTATTTTCCCGTTGTCAATCATTCTTGTTGCCATAATCTTGGTTTTTTTGACGTTTAGCTGCAACCCGGCTTTTGCGCTTTCTTCTTTCACCTTGATTAGAAGGCTCCTCAGCTCCTCCTCGCTTTCGGCCATCAGAGTGGTGTCATCTGCATATCTGAGGTTGTTAATGTTTCTTCCAGCAATTTTCACCCCAGCCTTGCATTCATCAAGCCCCGCACATCGCATGATGTGTTCTGCATACAAGTTAAAAAGGTTGGGTGAGAGGATGCAGCCTTGCCGTACGCCTTTCCCAATCTTGAACCAGTCTGTTGTTTCATGGTCAGTTCTGACTGTTGCTACTTGGTCCTTGTACAGATTCCTCAGGAGAGAGACAAGGTGGCTTGGGATGCCCATCCCATCAAGAACTTGCCACAATTTATTATGATCCACACAGTCAGCAGAAGGAGATGTTTTTCTGAAACTCCCTGCCTTTCTCCATTATCCAGCGGATATTGGCAATTTGGTCTCTCGTTCCTCTACCTTTTCTAAACCCAGCTTGAACATCTGGCAACTCTCGCTCCATGTATTGCTGCTTCCACCAAGGTGCTCCGAGCGACTTACAATTTAAAATAGCATTTACACAATATAAAAACATTCAACATAAAAACATTCAACAGTGACTATTTGGCAAATTAGATCTGATTACTTAAATGCACAACCAAACAGCCAAGTCTTGAGTGCCTTTACAAAAGGTCGCAACTCCGACATTGCTCTAATGTATGGAGGCAATGAGTTCCACAGAATTGGAGCATAGGTCGAAAAAGCTCTACGCCTTGTAGCTTCCAGGTGTACCTCCCCAGGGCCCGGTATGTATAGGAGATTTTCCTGGGTGGATCGAGGTGACCACTGATGGAGAAAAGGAATGAGGCGGTCCCTAAGATATAAAGGTCCTTGGTCATTTTGAGCTCTAAATGTCAGGATCAGTATCTTGTAAGAGATCCGATGTTCTATTGGTAGCCAATGCAGTTGTTGCAGAATCGGTGTAATATGGGATCTTATAGATGATCCCGCCAGCAGCCTGGCCGCTGCATTTTGGACCATCCGAATTGTTGACTTCGGAAGGCCGCTGCATTTTGGACCATCCGAATTGTTGACTTCGGAAGGCCGGCATATAAAGCGTTGCAATATTCAAACCTCGTGGTGACTGTTGCGTGGATGACCGTTGCCAATGCTTCATCCACGCAACAGCTTCAGCTAATGTATAGATAACATGGGTGCATATTTGGCACTAATGGCCACAATCTTGTTGATGCATTATACCAGCAATGCATGAGTTATGAGGAAAGGCAGGAACAAATCTGTGAGATTCATACATCTTATTTCACCAGTGACTTCCTTCTCTTTCATGTCATTGTTTGGCATTCATTGGAGTTCCTGGGTTATATTCAGAGGCAATCTCATCCCAACACAATAATCCAATTGGGAGGTTGTCAGAGTAAGGGTTCTAGCTGGTTCCTAAAAGGACAGCTAAGCCTGACGAAACAGTTCTAAATCCAGGAGCAGGCCCAAGCTACATTTCTAGAACAGGATGGAAATCTTACTTCTGGACGCAAGTACCCACAGGACCTCTCTTTTTGAGAATTCTAGTTCACTGAGTTGCCCCTCATTCCCAGTATTATCAGCTCTGGCATCCATCTCACCCAATTCATATATGTTGTTTACTAATTATAAGAAGCCTCTGCTCCAGTTTACTTCCCAACAGGTCCAGGCAGCACCTAAATAATATTATCTCCCTAAGAACATTTTCCTGTTTTTTATTCCATAGGGTTTTGTTCCTTTCCTAGTAAGTGCCACAGCAGGAACTACAGTATATGGGGCATTTGACCCACTGATAGCCATTGCAGATATTTGCAAGAAGTACAAGATATGGATGCATGTTGATGTGAGTATGAAATCAGTATCTTCAAGCACTGCATTGCAGCAAATATTACAATATTGAAGAGTATATAATCTAACAATATGCTCCTGGGCTAAAATCATGCTGGTAAATGAAGAAATAAGCTTCCCAGCAGAGTTTGTAGACAAAAATTAAAAATTGTTGCTTCTTAGGAAGCTAGTGGATATAGAGTTTCGCTTATCTGACATAAATGGGCCAGCAGTTCATGAGATAAACAACAATTTTACATTGGCTAATATGGAGTCTCCTACTGCTACTTATCCAACACAGCGCTAGACATCTAGAATATTAACAACAGGGACTCAGAGGATTAAGGCAAGGCATTGCCTTGGGGCTAGAGTGCCCCAGTAGGAAGTGTCTGGATGCGGAAGAGGAGCATGGAAGTCACAGAGGGAAGGAGAAATGACGCTTCCGCTTCCGGTCCTGCCTCTTTTCCCTTTCATCTCTTCTCCTTGTCTTGCCATTTTTTACTTACTGGGAATGGAGAGAGAGTGGAGGAGTGCTCCTTTAATTGAAGGGGAAATGCTGGAGGAAATTGGGGGGGGGGGAGGGGTGGCATGGATAAGAGTGTCAAATAAGACTGTATGTTGGATAAGTGAAGGTTGGATAAGCGAGACTTTACTGTACTCTGTTCATGTTACTTGCCAAATACAGAAAAGGGTTTGTTTTTGTTTTTTTGTGTGCTACAGAACAAAGAATTTCCTCATGGTTACTAATCATCCTAGTTGGGCAGATTCTGATGTTTGTAGTCTAAATATCCAGCCTTTCAAACTCTTCCAAATATTTAATATTGGTATATTGAGGCTTTATTTGTTTTCTTCTAATATTGTTCAATCACAGTAATTACATTGATCTGCCATTAATTTGTCAATCTGTTTGTGAAGCACCACATACCAGTATTGGCATAGATTTTGCAAAATAAAGCCTTTTAAGTACTGAAAAAAATGTTTAGGTTAGTACCATTATCACACCTCGTAATCATAAATTCTAAAAATACAACTGACTTGCTATTTAATCAGCATCAATGTTCCACAATTTCCTTCCTTTCTTTTAGTTGCTCCCACCAACAACCATTTTCCAGACATGATTCATGCATTTGGATTTTCACCCTCTGAATTCAATAGCATTAAATACAATTGATGGTTACTATCTGTTTGTTTTTTTTCCAGGGAGCATGGGGTGGTGGGCTGCTGATGTCAAGGAAACACAAATGGAAGTTAAATGGCATTGAAAGGTAGGACTTGTAGAAATGTTATTAAATGCTGCTAGATGAATTGGGCTAAATTCAGATTGCTCTGGAAGCTGGTGGTTTTCCTCTCCCCTCACTACCCTTTTTATTGCTAAGAGTGTGGGGAGGGGAACATATATTTTTATATTTGTATATTTTAAATTGTATGTTAATGCTTTTTATGTTAAGCCACTTTGAGTCTCCTTTGGGAGAGATAAAGTGAGGTATAAATAAATATAATAATAATAATGTCTGGAGAGATTCTCAGCCATTCAAAACCTGTTTTTGGACTGCAGTAGAGAGGGAATACTCTCATCTCGATTTTGCTGGATTCTCACAGTGGAAGTCTCACACTGGATCCTTCCCATTGACATTAAAGTTCCTGCAAATTAAAATTACAGGATGCCTCTGCTCTCCAGGACATTCCCAGGATTATGGCAGATCAATTAATATGCTCTTGTCAAAGATATAATTAGAAATTAATTATTAAACTGTAGACATGGTTGAAATAATCGACTAATTCTCTAATAGCATAAAAACTAGATCTGAGTTCCTTTTATTTTATCACTGTTATTGTCTCAATGATCCTTTTAATCACTATTTTATCCTGGAAACTGTGAAATGTCTTATTAGTGTGTTTGTTTACTACATATATAATGCTTCATTGTCCAGCATGGTGTAGTGGTTTGAGCACTGGACTACAACTCTGGAGATTAGTTTTAGAATCTCCTTTAGGCCATGGAAACCCAATGGATGACTTTGGGCAATTCCACTGCCTTCGCTGCAGAGGGTGGCAAAGGCATGCCTCATCTAAACAAATCTTGTCCAGAAAACCTTGTGATAGGCTCACCCTAGGGTCACCAGTGATTAAATGTACATCCACTCTCCAGAATTGGGCCCAAAGACCTAGGAATAATGTTATAAATAAAAATTGAAATCGATAAATAAAAAATGCTACCCAAGTGCACTTCATAATAGAAAATACTACCCACATCACTATCAATATTCAAACTGAAATAAAGTGGAGGTCTTACCCCACCTAGCTTTTTAAAAGCTGGTTATTATTCCAAAAATCCAAATATTTGTGCTTAAGTATGTTGTCATTTTAAAAGAGCATTATCTGTTCAGATAAATGTAAATGAACTGTTTCTGGTTGGTTACAAAACACCCAATTATGACTCCACATCACTATTCTATCTTCCTTTATTTGGATTTACTATGATTGCAATTCAGCCTTTCAAAGTTTGCTTGCTTTTCTAGGGCTAACTCTGTGACGTGGAATCCACACAAGATGATGGGGGTCCCTCTACAATGCTCTGCTCTGCTTGTTCAGGAAGAGGCATGTTTCCATTCATTTGTATTTCTGTTCACTTTTGACCTTTTAATGGATGAGATCTGGATGGTTTCCCTATAGTTCTGACAAAAAGATTTAATGCATGTCACAGAATTTGCAGATCAAAGTGAAAATTAAATGTTGGAAAACTTACCTTCTTGGACTACAGCTCCCCTTGGTCTAAATCAGTGGTTCTTAAACTGTGGGTTCCCAGATGTTTTGGCCTTCAACTCCCAGAAACCCTAACAGCTAGTTAACCGGCCAGGATTTCAGGGAGTTATGGGCCAAAACACCTGGGGACCCATAGGTTGAGAACCACTGATCTAAATCATCAGTGCTGGCAGGAATTTTTCAAAACTCTGATATGAAGTCACTTTTTCAGCCTCAGTCAGGAAACAACTAAACTCAATAGAAAACAAAGATAATCAACATTCTACATTGGCTATTTATTTGTATCTGTAACTATGACCCCATCACACTGATGTTTTTCCCTGCTTTCTCTCCATTTTTGCACACTTGTAAAACAGAGTCCCATGCAGGCCATCCCATGATGCATGGCCATGCCTAGTGGCCATCTGTGGGAATCCATCTTGCCAGTGGGCTACAATGGAGAGAAGACTCCAGAAAGCGGAGGGAAGCGAGTGAAAGTAGAAAGAGTCAGGGAAAGGTCATGGGATGGCTGGCCATCCCCGAAGATGGACCTTGCCGGGAGAGAACGGGATAAGACGGTTTCCCTACTCTTCCCAACACTTTCCCCTGCTTTTCCCCACTTCCCTCCTGCCCATATATTGAAGTCCATAGTAATATCATCTGGTCCAACCCACCTTAAGAGCCAGCAGCCACATCCCCTTTCCATCAGTAAGTGAAACTGTAACATATCCATACATTTTCTCCAAATCGAGGCCAGGAGTATATATGTTTATGCCCATAGATGGAAAGGGCACTTAGAAATTAATAGCACCCTCTAAGGATTGCTAGTACACTTGTCCTTCAGTGTATTCCTGTTTCTTTAAAGGGACTGATGCAAAGCTGCAACCAGATGCATGCTTCCTACCTCTTTCAACAAGACAAGCACTATGACCTCTCGTATGACACTGGCGACAAAGCCTTGCAATGTGGGCGCCATGTGGATGTCTTCAAACTATGGCTGATGTGGAGGGCAAAGGTAAGCTTTCCCATGTCTCATTCTGGAATCAGGGTGAGTGAAATTCTGGTCTGCAAGAATATAGTTAAGAAAAATGTTGACTTTTATGTGTGAACCGAGGTTGTCAATATGTTGGTGCACCAGTGATTGCACTTTTCTAGGAATTGTAAAGAGAGAGAAGACAAAACTGACCAGCCTAATGTCTCCATCACTTACTTTGACCATGATCATTGTGTTTACTGCCTTTTCCCTCCTGCTGCCACAACCTATGTCGCAGTAGTTGTATCAGATGAATATATCAACAGGATTCTGGATTGAGACTATATCAATGAGAGCATTCACTGCCTCTTCCTCCAAACAATGCAGCAATGGAGTCAGTGCTTATGGAGTTGAAGTGTTGGGACTTCTTCATTAGCAAGGCTGATGGCATTGTCTGCATCTCCTTCTCTCTGAGCTAAGGCGATGAAATCTCGAAGTAGCAATGTATTCCAATGAGCTATCCCTATTGTAATACAATGTCTTTAAAGATAAGTTGGCCTTAATGGAACTTGAGATGTGTTAGCTATATAAAGGCTGGTTCGAAGTAGAGACAAACTGCTAAAGAAGCAGTCAGTGACAGCTATTGGGTTTGGAGGATCTATCCAAGGTGTTGAATATTGTTCATTCATCACCTTGGATTGCTCCTTTGTTTTAATGGAAAATTCAGAACAGATTCAGTGCCAGATGACATAGAAATCACCAACTACCATTGGCAACAAGGGAAAGGCAATAACTTTTGCTTTCAAAACTGGGCTGTGCTTCATCAAAGCTAGTCATTTGTGGAAGCTAAGTAGCCCTTCTAGATGCCCATTTCAGGCTCCTTCCAGCCATTGTGTTGAAGTGAGAATTGCTTGTGAGTTGCAAAGTAACTACTGCTCAGCAGTCTTGCCAATTTGTGGACATATTTCCCCAATACAAGATTTCTGTGTAAAAAATGAACAAAAATATAGCCCTGGGAATGAAATAAATATACTGTCACTGCACATTCTATTTACAAGAAATCACATTGCTCATAACCTCTGAGGATGCTTGCCATAGATGCAGGCAAACATCAGGAGAGAATGCCTCTAGAACATGGCCATACAGGCCGAAAAACCTACAACAACCCAGTGATTCTGGCCATAAAAGCCTTTGACAATACATTAATCACGTTGCTTTCAAGTTTAGATTCCATAACGTCACAAAGCAATTGCTGAGCCTCAGCTCTAGGCAACACAGCAGTGAAGCAGTTGTGTTTTAATATAATCAGGCTAAAAGCTTTGGAGAAACACAGAGGATTTGATTGTAGGAATTCTTAAAACTAGACATGGCAAAACTGTGACTAGAACACCTGCTTCCATTATATGCAGCAATTAGAGCAGGCATATTATTAATGCGGGGAAACTAATTAAAAATCTGTCCTTTCCTGGGGCACATTTGTAAGGAATCTCAAAGGATTGGTTGAGCTGCACATGGGAAATGATGCCAAATAAATACTTCCCACTTAATGATTTCAGCTTTTTTTACCAAGATTTCCTCTTGGCAATGAATAGAGATATTTATTGACACAGCCTTGATATTGTTTGTTATTTCCTCATCATCTTGTAAGCAACTTTGAAACAGGTTGGCATTGCTTCAAAACAGATCTACATAACATCTGATAAGAGCTTTGAAGAGTTACATTTTTGAATAACTTTCAGAATCCTTCAGACAGAATGAGGAATTTTGGATTTAAAGCCTAAAATTTAACATAACTTATAAGCATAGAAACTTTACCAAAATAAAAAAAACAATCCCCAAAAACATGGGTCGGCTTCACCACTTGGTCAATGTGATTACTGTACCCTAACTCTTTTTTAAAAAAAGAAAACATCCTTTTTTTTTTTTTTGAGTGGCAAAAGGGAATAGGTCAGGTATGGGTAAACCCAGGCTCAGGGGCCGGATGCAGCCTGTTGGGCTCCTTTCTCAGCCCCTCCCCCCTTCTCACCATTATACCCTTCCTTCCTTCTCTCTTTCCTTCCTCCTTTCCTCCCTTCTTCCTTCTTCCCTGCCTCTTTCTCCTTCCTTCCCTCTTTCTCCTTTCCTTTTCTTCCTCCCTCCCTCCCTCCCTCTTCTTTCACTCTCCTTCCTTCCTTCCTTCCTTCCTTCCTTCCTTCCTTCCTTCCTTTCTTTCTTCCTTTTTTTTCTGGGGGATGTTTAGCTGGGAGAAGAGAAGGTAGAGAGAGGAACATGAGAACCATGTTTCAAGATTTTAAAGGGTGTCCCATTGAGGAGGAGGGGGGGGGAAACGACTTTCTGCTGCTCTAGAGACCAGGGCACAAGGGGGCAAAGGTTTCAAATGGCAGGGAATGTAGCGGGGGGGGGGGGGGGGGGGGGGGGGGGGGGCTTGGGGGGCTTCAGCCCCCCCCCCCGAAATTCTCATGGTGGTCCGCGAAAAGGCCTTACTGGTACATTATTTAAACTGTTATGTTTATTCATATCATGATCTGATCACCATGCTCAATATATCCCATATGCATGGGGGTATTGGGGTAATGATACAAAAGGTTTGCTAGGGTAGACCCTCTTTCACTCAGACTCAGCCCCCCCCCCCGAACCCCCCCTGAAAAAACTCACACACCCCGAAACCCCCCCGAAATTTTTTTAGCCCCCCCCCCCCCCCGAAACGAAATCCTGGCTACGGGCCTGTTTCAAATGGCAGGGAAAGAGATTTGATTGAAAAGATTAGGACAAACTTCCTGGAAAGTGGAATAGGCTGCCTCGGAGTATGTGGAGTCTTCTTCTCTGGAGGCTTTTCTGCAGAGGTTGCCTATTGGAAGTGCTTTGATTGTGCCTTCCTGCATGGCAGGGGGTTGGACTGGATGGCCCTTGGGGGTCTCTTCCAGCTCTAGAATTCTAGGATTCTATACTAGAAGTATGCAATATGGGGTCTAATGGATACACTTTTTCTCTCCCATTCACCATCTCATCCCAAGCAAGGCTTACCCTTTTGAGAGCCAAACATTTACTGTCTTTTCTTCACTTTCTGCCTCCAAAAGAGAAGAGGAAAGGGAGGAAAGGTCAGGGAGGGGACCTCCCACCCACTCCACTCTGGCCCATCCACTCTGCTCCGGTCCACCATGTGGCCCTCAAGTTAGAAAGTTTGCCCATGCCTGGAATATGTTAATCCATCCTGGAAAAACTAAAAGAAGCACTGGCCCTCTCCTCTGTCAGTGCCAGAATCAAGACAAATGAGGTCCTGTGTTAGTTATGAGGCCCCTTGCTTGGGTCCTGAAGGAAATAGGCATGGTAGATCTACGCTGCCTACTTTGTGGCACACTCCCATAGACTATCATTAGGTGTGGAATCACTCTGAAACAGTATGCCTTCAAATTCAGAACTGCACCACACAAGCAAAATCCATTGTAAAAACATTTTTGTGAGCCAATGGGTCTGTGTGCTTAAGTGCACCTAAGCATAAGAGTAAACCTGGCACTTCCTCTACTCTCTCTGCTATGATGCCACGCCTTTTTGAATTCCTGGGTGGGGATATGGCAGTGGCAGCCAGGGGAGGCTGGCCCTCCAAGGTGGCATTGGTGGTTTCTCTATTCCACAGAATGATGCTCAGCTTATCCATGGGTAATTTTGATCCCAAAATATGCCTTTGAAATAACATGAGTATATGCAGTTTACCAGTTCTCCTTGGGCCTATTAAGCCAAATGCAGTCTTCTAGTCAGGCATGGAGGCTTACAAAAAAGAGTAAGAGAAGGGATTATCAGACATTTGGCAACACACAGTATTGATGGATCACAAGTGAAGGAGTCATATCTAAAAAGAAAAGAAAAAAGCAACTTCAAAAATGGGTTCCGTTGCTGAATTGCTGTGGCTGTGAAGAATAATTCTATTCTTCTGTAACGTCAAAGCATTAGACCTGGTCCTACTCTCTGGGGCAGCAGAAAACAGGCCCAAGCACCACCAACTCCCCTGTGACAACCATTGAGGGGTAACACGATTGCACTCTTTCAGAACCTCAACATTTGTCACAGGGGGGAGGGAGCATCTTGGAGAGTCAGACCAGTCTAATGGTTTGAATTTACAGGAGAGTAGATTTTAATTGAACATTAGAAGGAATTTCTTCACAATAAGAGCAATTCAGTAATGGAAGGAATTGCCTAGAAAGTTGATGGGGCCTCCTTCTCTGAAAAATCTTCAAAAAGAGGCAAAATGGGGGTGCTTTAGCTAGAGATCCTGCATTGAGCAGAGGATGCACTCCATGTTATTCATAGTGTAGCATCAGTATTTAATTTGGCCTTAAAAATATTGCTTACTGTGACATGTCAGCCACTACCGGCTAGCGTACCATCCAAACCCAAAAAGCATTTGCTTACTTAGAACAACAGATTTCAACCACTGAGTATGATTGTCTTCTAAGGGTAGTCTTGGCACTGGCTTTTCAAGTCACCACATGGTCTTTCACAGTAAGGACATAGATTTCCAGTTGAAAGGCGGTCCCATCAAGGGTTTGCTTGATACCCCTTTTTCTTGGCACTCAATTACCATAAGCCTTGCACTTAAGTCACTGCATAATGATTGTTTCTATTGTTATCTCGTGGCTATTTTAATTTTGCTTCAGTTCCCTCAGCTTCTCTTTTTTCCTTTGTTCCAAAGGGCACTGTAGGATTTGAAGCTCACATTGACAAGTGCTTGGACCTTGCAGAATACCTGTATAACAAAATAAAGAACAGAGAAGGCTATCAAATGGTATTTGATGGAAAGGTACATCTCTACTCTAACTTCAAATGTTTGTTCTCGGGCCAAGGTCCATTGCTCCACACATACTGAGAGGAAACACCACTAAATGTGGAAAGTGTTACTTCCCCGTAAATATGCATAGGTTTATTTTTTAAAGCACTTCCATCAATACACCCAGCCTTAAATTTTATTAATAGGGAAGTCTTCTTCAGAAAACAATTAGATAGATAACAGTTTTGTTTCTGATCTGTTAACTGTTTTTTCTGACCACAATGCTGGAAAGAATCAATATATGCCAGGTATAGGCAGCTGGTCCTTCGGGATTTTTGGCCTACAACCCCATCAATGCTGGCAGCGAAATCAACTGTGAGGAGTTATGGGAGCTGCAGTCCCAAAACATCTGGATGACCACAATTGCCAAGTCACCATTGGCAGTATAATTGTTGTGCTAAATCATTAATGGATTGCAAGACTGGTGCAAGGACCACATGTGGCATGCATGCCAGCAGTAGAAAGATCTGTTGCTATCAATCAGGGCTTTTACATTGCAAGTTTTCAAGGCCATATTTGCTTCAGCTATTTTAACTGCAGCACTCAGAAATTCTGAACCAGAATCCATGACTGAAACTCTCATGATCCAACTGGCTATGTTGGCTGGCTCTTGTAGGAACTGAAGGCCAAAACACCTGGAGAACCAAAGGTAGAAATTCTCTACCTCAAAAGAGTTGGAGTCAAGAATATCTATGGAGAGCACTTCATTTCTGGAGAGATCTCAAAATGCGCTGTAAACAACAGCTCTGGAAGTGACCATTGTATGTATGACTACTAGTAGTTTGAATGGCACATTGTAAAAAATTGAGGATGCATCTTACCCTCAAAAAAGACAAAGATAACAGAGATCTGCATAAGGAGTCATATACTAACGTTAGTATATGACTCCTATTAGCATTCATCTTTGAAAAACATTTTCTATAATTTAAAAGTGAAATAGTATAATGAGGAAGACTTAGCCTATGGTGCATCTACACTGTACAATTCTTGCCAGACTGTGCTGAACTTCCTTATGTGAGTGATCTGTAGCAATTAAATCACTCACATAAGGAAGAGCAACATAAGAGAAGGGAGAAACCATGAATATTACTATGACTGAGCTACCCTTAATATATATGCTGTTGTTCTTCCATTAGCCTCAACACACAAATGTTTGCTTCTGGTATCTGCCTCCCAGTTTGCGGAATATGGAGGATAATGAAGAAAGAATGAATCGGCTTTCAAAGGTAAATACAAGAAAAAGAGAGAGGAGAATGAGATTTCTTGTTATGAAGTCAAGAATGAAAGTATGTGTTTTTGAGTGACCTGATTCCAGCAATCATCTAAGCCCTTATTATTGGATGAAAGACTCAAATCGTTTTTTACAAGACTGAAGCATAAGCTGCTTCCACACAGCCATTTAATCCAGAGCAGAATGTGAATTTAAGAAAAAAATCTAGTCTGTTCCAGAGTGCCTACACAGGCACCCCAGGAACTGGCTGAAAGATCAAAGAGAGTACACACATCCAGCTGTACTCTTCAAGTTCTCTGCAAATGTCACTCTAGTCTCCATCTCACTTGCTTCATCGCCACCAACTCCTTGGAAAGCCAAGGGTCTGGTTTGGCTCTACTTGGTGAGAGGATATGTTCAGGAGCTATTGTGTTCACCATCCAATCTCCCTTTCAGTGCAGGAACCCCATACTGGGAAGTGGGCATCCAAACTCTGTTTAAAGATCTCCAAAGAAAGTCCACCATCTTTTGAAGGAATTTGTTCTTGAACCTCATTTACTGTTGAGAAGTTTTTCCAATGTCACAATTAAAGGTAGAGCCATAACCCGCTGAAGGGGGCATTAGTCAATGTTATATTCCTTCCTTCAAAAGGTAGTCAGTCAACCCTGATTAAAATGAGGGTGTTCCTATTCATTTGACTGGTGTTCCAGATTTTTGCTCCAAAGTTCTCTCCCAATGGCAGCTTTGGCCACATGTGTAGCTGGACCCTGAAATTAAGGCCAAGTTTACATTGGCCTGTTAATCCAGATTTATTCTTTAAAAGAAATGCTGCAGAATGGCCTTTGAAGTGACCACGCACACCGTCCCAAACCCAGAGAGATGAAAGGTCCAGCTGGGTTGAGCCCTTGCCATTCATGTTACTCTTGCCATTATAGATAGCCACAGACCTCCTTTACTAATGAGCACAGGATAAAGGGGTTGGTGGAAGTGCCTTGGAACAGTGTAGGAACAGCGTAGCCACAGGTTTGCTCATAAGTTTCAGGCAAATTGTAGAGTATTTCTCAATTTTTCTTAACATGGGGCTAAACTGGATTAACCCAATTTACCCCATGATACCTACCACAAGAACAGGAATGTTGTGCAGATAGCCAAAATCATACTGTTTATATTGCCTATGTAGATGAATCCTCAGAAGCAACCATGTCATTCTCACATACTTTTCATACTGTGTTTGTGAAGGTGGCCCCAGTAATTAAAGCCCGAATGATGGAGTGTGGTTCCACTATGGTCAGCTATCAGCCTCTGGGAGACAAGGTCAACTTCTTCCGTATGGTTATCTCCAATCCATCAGCAGCTCACCAAGACATCGATTTTCTGATTGAGGAAATAGAGCGCCTTGGGCAAGATTTATAATCATGTGGTCTATCAGACTCTTCTGAAATGTCTCTAGGTAGACAATTAAGTTGTCACAAACTGTGGTGAATGTATTTGTAGTTTGTTCCAAAGTGAATCTATTTCTATATTGTGGCGTCAAAGTAGAGTGCAATTTAAAATTGAGAACATTGCTCCTCTTTAAAAGTTTTTTCCCTCACCCTTGAGTTTGTGAATACATCTTTTCTGATGATGTAACATATAAAAGGCTGCATTCATGCAAATCAGAAGTCAAATCCATGCTTGCAGTCTCGCCCTCTCCAAATTTTAGTATGGTTAATACAAATGGTAGTTTATGCTAGTAGCAGCCATACAAAACAGTGCCAAATTTGCTCCCAAACCATTGCAAAATAAAATGAGGAGCAGTGTGCAGCAAAACAAAACAAAAAATGCTTTAAAACGCTGATGTTTTGCCTTTTTTTCTTAGTCTATTAGAACAGAATTTCTAATTTACATGCAAACATTTCAGATGTATTTAAATACATATAATTTTACAAAAGAAATATATAAATATATAAATATATATTAAAAAGATCCTATTTTGTAAAATATAGATTTTTTATTTTATATGGGTTATAATGATTGCAGGGACAAATAATAACAGTAACAATAATGATAAGAAAAATAAAGTATTTTATTTTCCTTTAAAGAAGGTGCACCAGATATCTAACCATGCTTGGTTTGAGACTTGATCCCACATCAGTTCTGAAAAGGAAATGTCCCTCAGATGTATGTGAGACTTCCTCTTGCACATCTCCAGAGTTTGGTATTGCAAAACCGCAAGTGATTACTGCAGCTCTTAAACAAAACAAAGACCAATGATACCTAAATTGCAAACTGCTGCTGTTCCTAAAATACTTCCCTTGTGGCCTAGCTAAGCAGACGCACAATCATAAAAGATTGGTTTACCCAAGATTAATCCTAGGGTTGTATGTGGAGTCTTGTTCAAAAAGGGTTACACTTCAGATTAAATGCAATGACCATCTTTATGGGCTGCAGGTGAAAGACAACTGAAGTTTCTTATTATGTAATAATTCTAAATTCTAAGCAGGTCAGCTCACAAAGCTAAGCAGTAAGAGATATGTTTGTTGGGACAACAACTACCCTGAGGGTGGAAGAAGGGAGAGCTGGACTGGATTCACAAGACCAAAATTCACCAGCAAATCTGCATTAGCAGTCAACCAGAAGTCCTTTCTTGGGTGCTTCCAGATGTGGCTTTGATCATGCAATTGGCCTTCATGATTCTTAGTGTTTTATGGGAATACAGAAGTTGTTGTCTTCCATGTATGACCCTTCCATCTTTTCCTACTGCACCTTCTCACAATTGGCTTTCTATAAACACACATGAAATTTCTTAAGGCAGAATAACTGCACAATGTATTCATAAGCCTGTGGAAACTCTCCTTGTTGAAATCCAAGGATCCAGATCTAACTTCAAAGCACAGATACATGATATGGTGCTAGAGAGCTCAGACTAATATGGTGGCTGTTTGCCTAGCTTTGGTTGCTGAAACCACTGCTAGGAGACTTGTTGCCCTCCAGAAGGTCAGAGCTTGAGAAAGTTGCTCTTTGAACTGTGACCAATATCCTGTATCAGGGTTGTGTAATGTAAATCTCCTCAAAGTTACAGGTTGATTGTGCTACCCAACTTTTGTGTTGAAGAATAATGTTGCTCAGATGAATGTACAGTTGGAGGCTCAACTGCATGGCTAACCAGATGCAAATATAAAGGAATACCTCTGAGAACTTCAGCAGGAACATATTGGTATGCATCAGTTGAGAATGTAAGTCCACCTGTGCAATGGGACTGCATGTACAACATTGCTTCTGTGATTGTGAATAAAATGTGGATGTTTTACAACCACTTTCTCAAGACATGAACAGGATTCAGGCCAACATCTCCCAAATCCCTCAAGCCAGCATGGGAGATGTAGTCAATGCGTCAGCACCAGTGAGGCTGAATGGGGCTGATGGAAAATGGAATCCAAGAAGATCTGGAATGCCGTACCTGGCCTGAGTCACTCTGTAAACTTACACAGAAAGACAGAGAGAGAGAGCAGTTTCTCCATGATTTCTTAGAACACACATAGAATATTTCAGCTGATTTCTGCATAAAACTGCTGACATCATCAGGGATATTTAGTTGCAATCAACACAGTCCTTGTAAAGCAAGAGTCTTGTAGAACTATATAGTTATACCACTATATAGTTATACCACTATGATTCCACTATGATTCCACTTTAACTGCCATGGCTCCATTTTATAGAATCCTGAGAATTGCACTTTCGGGAGAGGTCTTAAGAAATTTCAGGCAGAGAGCTCTAGGACCTCACCAAACTACAAACCCTAGGATTCCACATGATGTAATCATGACAGTAAAAGAGGAATCATGGTGTTATAAGAGTGTATTGTGAACAGTTCCATAGTCAGCTACTGGAACCCTCTGTAATTCAAAGACAAAGACTCTCTGCATGCATCTGAGAAAACATGCAGAGGGATACAACACAAATTCCAGGGATCCGCAATTCTACCCCATATCTGATGTCATGTAGACTAAGGGTGAATCGGCATTGCTTGGTAAATCTGCAGACAAGCCCAGAGCAGAAATTATCTGGACTGGCTCTGGAGAAGGCCACATACACCTCATCAAATCTGCTGTGGTGCTGCATGGATCTCCAAATAGTACAGCCAACCTGAAATCATAAAGGGACCTGCCTCTGTAGACGCCCAGTGCTGCTAAGGCTTGGCTCCAGTCCTGAGTTAGAAGTAATGTATACCTGAGACTGCAGCCTTCTATTACTGAGAATATTTATATCATTTCCCCTTATCCACTTCTTCTGAAGAATTAGAGATGGAGGTCAACAACACCTAAAGGACCACATATCTCTCAACCATGACTTAAACCAGTGGTCCTTGGACCAGTGCTGGTTCTTGAGCCATAGGCAAGTGTCCAGGAAAGTAAGAAGCATCAATATAATGCAATTTCCTGGTACAATGGGGGAAAAATTCCCAGTCCCCCACATGAGATCAACTAAGGAAAAACTATGTATTGTCAAAGGCTTTCATGGCTGGGATCACTGGGTTGTTGTAGGTTTTTCGGGCTATATGGCCATGTTCCAGAAGCATTCTCTCTTGATGTTTCACCTGCATCTATGGCAGGCATCCTCAGAGGTTATGAGGTCCTAACAACCTCACAACCTCTGAGGATGCCTGCCATAGATGCAGGTGAAACATCAGGAGAGAATGCTTCTGGAACATGGCCATTCAGCCCAAACTTATAACAACCTAAGGAAAAACTCACATAGATTTTAAGGATGTGAGACATGTTACACTCTGAGGCAACCTCCTTCAACATGTTCGTCCGCAGTTGCTGATGGACTCCAACTCCCATCAGCCCTACCCAGCATGATCAGGGATTATATCAATTGAAGATAAAACTCTTGGAGACCACCATGTTTCAGAAAACTGGTTGGGGAGATGGAGAGGAAATCGGTCACGTGTTGGTTTTATGCCTTGGAGTTCCCTCCACTTATAAACCTAGCTCAATTTTGGGGTCTAGCTTTAACTCGAATCAACATGGCCACCTGGGTTTGTAAAGCAATAGCGTTTTACACTCTCTCCAAATACTTGAAGCAAACAAATGTAATGTAACAATTTGATGAAAACTACATAACTTTGGGTATAGGCTCATTGTAACATTAAGAAATAGGAATAAGGAGATTATAAATTGTGTCTGTAATTGTGTTGCCTTTTAAAATTATATTGATAGTATGTTTTTGTCACCTCAGACTGAGGGCTGTGCACTTTAGATTTAAAGGCTGTACAGTGTTGCCAGTCAACATAATTGCTGTATAAGCTTGTATAATATGTTACTGAGATGTCCTTATCTGTGTGGTAGCAGTATTGAATCTTGATATTGTAAGAACTGCATTCATTCTAGTTCTTCTATTACTCACCTGCTGTAGATCACAACATCCTCTTCAACCCCGATTCCCAAGAACAATATTCAATTATTTACATTAAAGTGTGAGTTCTGGAAAGCTTAATAGCTCTGCCAATAAGATCTAAAGCAGCTTGTTTCAAGCTACCCTACTTGCCCAGATCCCAATGGACTACAGAATTTCCTGTACTTTTGGACATTTCCCATTCACTTCAATGGATGGGCAGCTCTGTGCTTACTTCTATAGATTGGGGCATATGGGCTTCACTCATTAAGCACTGGTGTTCTGTCATCACTGTTCCCATGATGGTAGTACAACTTTCCTGGATGCAAATGGAAAATTGTGCACTTGAGATAAATGTTGCCATTAAATGGCTCATTTACAACTTATCCACCAAATGCTTCTGCTTCCCCAAGGGAGAGGCAGTGCAGAGACTACAGCTATGATGATCTATAGGTATGGGTTACATCTTGCATGTATTTTTTTTAAAAAAAGAAATAATAAAGCTGATTACAGTGTTGTAGATATTATTTATGTGTATATGTCCAAGATCTTCACCTGGTGTTTTGATGTGGCTAAACACCAGCCGGACTTTCTTTTTTCCACGTTAACTGTCTGTTGCATCTAGGGAAAAGAACTACCTGGCAATCTGTTCTTCTTGTATTTGATTCAAGTATTTTATCTGTGGTGATGTCACTCAGAACCCAAATAAATATATATATAAATTGTGGTTTTCGTGTCTCTGCAGGGTCAGTCTCTTCGTTTTTGTATTGCTTATCTGCAGGACCAGGAACATCTGTCATGTCATCTTTCCACAAAGGTCATGGGAACTAGAATGCTTTATTCCAGTTGTCACTGATGTCAGCATTGACATTGATAAGGCTTGCTTTATTAAATGTGATAAGCATAGACATAATAGTGTTCTGCAGTTACAGCCTCTCAATGGTCCTCTGAGCCACATATAAATGTACATCAGCTTATCATTTGCCAAATTGGATCTAGGCCTTTAAAAATCTGAAGCTTGTATCTGTCTTTTAAACATAAATGTAGTTTCTTTCATCATGAAATATTTCGTTGAACTGATCAAGGTATGGTTCCATAGCTGAGCTTGGAAAAGCAATGTTGTACTCTACCAGTTGTATCAGGAGCCCCTCGTGGTGCAGTGGGTTAAACCACTGAGCTGCTGACCTTGCTTATCGAAAGGTCACAGGTTTGAATCCAGGGAGTGGTGTGAGCTCCCGCTGTTCGTCCCAGCTTCTGTCAACCTAGCAATTTGAAAACATGCAAATGTGAGTAGATCAATAGGTACTGCTCCGGTGGGAAGGTAATGCTGTCATGCTGGTCACATGACCTTGGAGGTGTCTATGGACAACAACGGCTCTTCAGCTTAGAAATAGAGATGAGCACCAACCCCCAGAGTCGGACACAACTGGACTTAATGTCAGGGGGAAACCTTTAACTTTACCTATTCTACCAGTGCATAGTTATCGTTGATTTCAGCATGTCCTACTGTTCGTTTCTCTTAAAACTAACATCTTCAGCTTTGCCTTTAATTATTTGGAAAATACAAACATCACAAGCACAGCAGTGTTGTCCTTTCTGTTTTAAAGAGCTTTTTGCTGCTGCATTGTTGATTAGCTGCTTTGATCCTCCAGATTGTTATGAGCTGCAAATATAAACAAAGAAGGTTTGGAAGCAGCTGTCAGTGGATGCTACAACTGGAATGTAAACAGTTGAGGGTTTTTTAAAAAAAAATCCCAGGACCCAAAGTAAGCCTGTTCTAATGCTATTTTCTAAAGCGTGTACATACTCTGAGTTAGCACCTTTCAGGATAAATGAATAAGAATCATTACAGCTGCTTTGAACTAGCTAAAGGGGAAAAGAAGGGTTTCAGAAGTATATAAATGGAGGCACTAGATGAGCAGTGGCTCAGAGAGTTTGATCTGCACTGTTTACCATCTGTTTGCTCTACTTTCTCTCAAAATTCTCCAGCTGCCAAGTACAATAAAGAGAAAGGAAGACAAAACTGATATTGGCTACCATGAGAGACAGAAGGCTAATGAAGCATATGGGAATGCCTGTTGAATCTGCCTGTGTATAATAAGCATATTTGCACTTAGTTGTCTATTGGGCCTGCCATGTATTCTTACTTGGCTGCCTCATTGTAACATGGGGACGACTTTAGCTACAAAGAATATATCAATGAAACACAGGATCTGATGGATACTTCCACTATCAAGTCTTCAGGTACAACCCCAGTGAATGATTTCATATCTAATGTCCAAGAACCAGTCCATTTTAGTGTGGAGAAGTTCATCACAAGAAGACCAACCACAGGGTTGCTAGTTTTTTCTGACACCAAAACAAAACAATGTTCTCCGTTACCAGGCCAATTCAAGAATCACCAGTACAAAGCATATAAAGCAATGCTCTACAACTGACTTAATTTGTCAGTGATAGTCTTAATCTTCTTGTCATTCCACTTTTGAATGTCCTAGTCACTCTCTGCTCCTTCATCTATCCCTCTTCATCCTTAGCTTACTTCCATGGCTATTTTATATATGCTTAATTCAGGCTCCTTGGTGGCACAGCAGGATAAACCACTGAGCTGCTTAACTTGCTGACCAAAAGGTTGGTGATTCGAACCCAAGGAGCAGGGTGAGCTCCCGCTGTTAGGCCCAGCTTCTGCCAACCTAGCAGTTTGAAACCATGCAAATGTGAGTAGATCAATAGGTACAGCTTCTGCAAAAAGGCAACAGTGCTCTATGCAGTCATGCTGAGCACATGACCTTGGAGGTGTCTACGGACAACACTGGCTCTTCAGCTTAGAAATGGAGATGAGCACTAACCCCACCCCGAGTAGGACATGACTAGACTCAATGTCAGGGGAAACCTTTACCTTTACCTAGCAGTGAGAAGAGGAGGGAGCATAATCTTGCATTTCCCAGTAGTTTCAGGCAAAATCAAATTACTGCAACCTGTGCTACTTTGTATGTTCTTCCTTATTAATACCATTTGCCATCTCGACCACACCCTAATATGACTCAGACATATTGGTCTCATTTTGTGGGAGGGCAGAGGATTAATCAGGACTCTCCCTGCCAAACTGGGCCACTTGGAGGGCATGCTTCCATAACCCCTCTTGCCCCTGCCTAACTTTTCTATCATTTTGAGGAATGCTGAAGGACAATAGCCTGTTAAACTTGTAAGAATATTTTATATTTATTCTAAAACAGCACAATAGTCTGGTTTTATGAGCCTATGGATATTTAAAAAGAGAAACCAGTCTGCTAGGAACACATAGGTACAAATACAAAATTTAACATATAGCATTCAAAGACGGTGCAGTATTCTGAAATGTGATGACAAAACCCTCTAATGTTTGATTTTTATGTGTGCAAGTCTTCTTCGGAAGCCATGTTAGAGACATAGTTTGTTGTCTCTCACCAATTAAGAAGAAGATGGGGGGGGGGGGAGAGAAGTGGGAAGTGTAGTAATCCACATATAAATCTAAAAATGATAATCTAGGGAAACATCAGGGGCTATCTTCATATCCACTCTACATGGTTCACGTTGCTTGCTATTTGCGGATCAAAAAAGTTAAAATATTTGGAAAATTGTAAGAAAAAGTTTCTTGAGTGCTGAGAAACTCAGATAGGAACAATAATGAATGTAGATAATCTTCAGGTCTTATTCTACACACATTTCATGGAGTTGGTTTGTGCAACAACTATTAGAAACAATATTTCCTGTGCAGAAAAATGCTGTTTTTCACATATAATAATAATAATAATAATAATAATAATAATAATAATAATAATAATAATAATATATTTGTATACTGCCCTATCTCCTCAAGGGAACTCAGGGTGGTTTCTAACATATAAGGCAAAACATTCAATTGCCAGACAAATTAAAATGAACATCATAAAACATAAAAACCTGCTAAAACATATGCAAAAGAATTAAAACCCAATTTCATTATAGCACCATCAAATGGGTTCAAAAATGGAAAAACACATACATATTTTGCACAGAATAAGTCCTAAATAGTCTTCCCAAAAATTGCACAGAAGAATACTGCTAAAAATACTCATTGCTTCATGTGAGTTGAAAACCAGCAAAATTGCTATTGCATTGGTAGTTTTTATTTTTAGTTGAAGAAATATTTTGTTTGTCTTTAGACAATGTTAATACATCAGGTAGAATCAGTCCTGTATATTAGATCATGTGGCATTGGATTGTTCTATGCAATGGAACCTATCTTTGGTTACTCTTTTCATGGGATTCTGCATGTGCCTCAATAAAGATTTGATTGAAACATGCAAAGGAAGACAATATGCAAGGACTTCAGTCAAGTAAAGCCTCTTAGCAATGGAGAATTTGAAATATTCTTTTCCATTCTTCCTGAGCAATTAAAGGCATTTCAGAACACTGACAAGAAAAGATTAATAGCAATGCTGCCACTGATATTGTTTCCACAATATTTCTGACCGGGAAGTGCAATTTTCTGATTGATTGATTAATTGATTTTTGCAGTGAGTCCAGCGAATAGGATAGCTAAACAGCCTCACGAATTATTTCCTGACAGGCAAACAATAAATCATGGCACTTATGAAAAATGGCAAGTGGCTTCACGTCTCACTCTGTCCTTGTTTGGTACCTCAGGCAGAGATGAATTATGAAGCATTTCAGGAGCCAGGTACCTCCCATGTTCCAGTTGGTATTTCTCTGACTTCAAAGGCTTCCTTACATTTATTCACTGAACTCTTCACTTTAAGACAACAGAGCTGAGCATCTATGTTACCTTCTAAATTCAAAAGCCCCCACCATTTCACTTTCCAGTCTCTGCTAAAGCTATCTCAGCAACCCGTTGTCCACGAAGGAAGAGGGAGGAAATTAGGAGGGAGAATAAGCTTGGAAAAACATATTCTTTTCCAGAATCAGCATTTCCAGATATTCTCCAAGTGTCCTGAGAGAGAGGAGCTTCATCTATCTTGATTCTGACCTTGCATTGGAAAAACACATGAGACCATGGACCTCATCACATTGACAACTGGAAAGTGGGGGAAAGCAAAGGGTACCATCACAATTCATTTCCTACTATCTTCCCTCTCTTTTGGGATAGTTGGTCACCCACCCCATGTCATTTTCTGTACCTTCCTGTGCTTTCCCGACTTCCTCCTTGTTTTATTGTTTGGAGTTGGGTAGCACACGACTCCTGAAAACAAAATCTCCGCTCTGTTCTAACACACTGGCAATAATAATAATAATTTTATTTATCGTATCAGGAGTGAACCAAGGGTAAAGTTGTGATGTATTTAAACACACAAAGTTTAAAAAACTTGGCATTCTACTAAATGTCCTTTGACCAGTGGCTCGCCACCTGGGTGCCTCTGGTGTTGCTTTATGAAGGTCCTCCATTGTGCATGTGGCAGGGCTCGGGTTGCATTGTAATAGGTGGTCTGTGGCTTGTTCTTCTCCACACTTGCATGTTGTGGATTCTACTTTGTGGGCCCATTTCTTAAGGTTGGCTCTGCATCTCATGGTGCCTGAGCGCAGACTGTTCAGCATCCTCCAAGTTACCCAGTCTTCTGTGTGCCCAGGAGGGAGTCTCTCATTCGGTATCAGCCATGGGTTGAGGTTCCGGTTTTTCACCTGCCACTTTTGGACTCCTGCTTGCTGAGATTTATCTGCAAGTATCTCTGTAGATCTTAGAATACTATTTCT